TATATATATATATATATATATATATATATATATATATATATATATATATATATATATATATATATATATATATATATATATATATATATATATATATATATATATATATATATATATATATATATATATATATATATATATATATATATATATATATATATATATATATATATATATATATATATATATATATATATATATATATATATATATATATATATATATATATATATATATATATATATATATATATATATATATATATATATATATATATATATATATATATATATATATATATATATATATATATATATATATATATATATATATATATATATATATATATATATATATATATATATATATATATATATATATATATATATATATATATATATATATATATATATATATATATATATATATATATATATATATATATATATATATATATATATATATATATATATATATATATATATATATATATATATATATATATATATATATATATATATATATATATATATATATATATATATATATATATATATATATATATATATATATATATGTAGCTTTCCTGGTGGTCAGTATGCAAATAGTTTTATTAAATTACAAAAATTATAATTTTATAACACCGTTCTACATCGATGGAAAAGTGAGCGCACAAGCATTGCTGCCAAAGAGCATGTGTTTCTCTGCATGTAAATGTTTTATCCTCCTTTCCTGTTAAATTTAATCTAATCCGTGTCCTGAAACACTTGTTTGGTACAAAAGTTCATACAAACAACACAAAAATGTAAAAAACTAAATCTTACCTATTACATTTTCTGCCTTTATGCTTTTTTGTGGCAATTGTGCTACCCACTGCGCCACCATGCTGCCATTATTATTATTATTGTTATTCTCATTATTTTGTTCTTGTCCTTACACGTTTATTGTTAAATAAATTGCAACAAAAAAAATTAAGTTTTAAGAATTATTTTGCTATGCGTTGGCGCAGTGGGTAGCACAATCACCTCACCGCAAGAAAATCACTGGTTCGAGTCCCAGCTGGGCCAGTTGGCGTTTCTGTGTGGAGTTTGCATGTTCTCTCCGTGTTGGCGTGGGTTTCCTCCGGGTGCTCCGGTTTCCCCCACAATCAAAACACATGCACTTTAGGCGAATTGATGAACTAAATTGGAGTGTATGAGTGTGTATGGGTGTTTCCCAGTGATGGGTTGCAGCTGGAAGGGCATCCACTGCTTAAAACACATGTTGGATAAGTTGGTGGTTCATTCCACTGTGGCGACCCCTGATGAATAAAGGGATTAAGCTGAAAAGAAAATGAATGAATGAGTTCAGTAATGACGTCTGCACTGCGCGCTGGCTTTTTAAAAATGTTTGTCGGTGCGTTAAACTTGTTAATAATGTCACTAATAAGGTCACGATTCGCACTCGATAAATAATTACTTTATTTGCTTTACTTTACATTCTCAGTAGATACAAAACCTAATCTTTCACTATATCAGTTGACGAAGATATGAATAAGTGAATGACAATTCAAGGGCGACACGGTGCCTCAGTGGTTAGGACTATCGCCTCACAGCAAGAAGGTCACTGGTTTGAGCCTCGGCTGGGTCAGTTGGCATTTCTGTGTGGAGTTTGCATGTTCTCCCCATGTTGACATGGGTTTCCTTCTTAGTCCAAACACACGTGCTATAGGGGAATTGATAATTGATAACTAAATTCGCTGTAGTGTATGAGTGTGTTTGTGAATGAGTGTGTATGGGTGTTTCCCAGTACTGGGTTGCAGCTGGAAGGTCATCCACCGCTTAAAACACATGCTGGGTAAGTTGGTGGTTCATTCCACTGTGGCAACCCCTGATGAGGGACTAAGCCGAAAAGAAAATGAATGAATGAGTTCAGTAATGACGTCTGCACTGTGCGCTAGCTTTTTAAAAATGTTTATGGGTGCGTTAAACTTGTTAATAATTGTTAATAGTGTCATTCATATAGTCACGATTCGCACTCGTTAAATAATTATATCGCTTTACATTCTCAAGTGATACCAAACCCAATCTTTCACTGTATGTTAGTGGTCAGCAATGTCGCCTCACAGCAAGAAGGTCGCTGGTTCGAGTCCTGGCTAGGTCAGTTGGTGTTTCTGTGTGGAGTTTGCATGTTCTCCCTGTGTTGGCGTGGGTTTCCTCCGGTTTCCCCCACAGTCCAAACACATGTGCTATTGGGGAACTGAGGAACTAAATTAACTGTATAGTATGAGTGTGTGTGTGAATACGAGTGTGTATGGGTGTTTTTCAGTACTGGGTTGCAGCTGGAAGGTCACCAATGCTTAAAACACGTGCTGGAATAGTTGGCGGTTCATTCCGCTGTGGCGACCCCTGATGAATAAAGGGCCTACGCTGAAGGAAAATGAATGTTAAATGTTTTTCAGTTCATCTTCTCAAAATCACCACCGAAAGCCATGTGTGCTGAACTCCTCTCTCTTTCCCTCCACACCGACTCACCCACTTTATTTTGTGCAGTTCACCAAAAAACAAAACGTTTAGTTTGGTAAAGAGATTCATACATAGGCACAATTTTATTGTCGTCTATAAAACTAATCTCAAGCATGTTAAGCAGAAGCCTTTAGATCAAAACGCTTTTAAAGATCATGAGAAACATCGTCAGTCGAGTGCGTCCAAATCTACAACACGCACGTTCTCACTTAAAAAATCGGTTTGTGTAAAAGTTGGTAATAAGCGTAAGTAATATTGCAATGGTTCGGATCTGTGCACGAGAAAAGCCATTATCCTTATAAATAATCATGAACGTACAACGGGAGTAGTAAAACTGGCACGTACTGTAAAATCGATAACATCCGCTTGACATTGTGGAAAGTTTTGAAGCAAACAACATCGGTTCCGTGTCAAAGTTGCCCTCGCAATGCTACGACAAACTGACGGAACAACACTTTTTTCTCTATACAGCTCATACAAAAATAAAAAAATGTCATTTGTTCCCATCTCATATTTTTTTTCGTGTTTTTTGACTCCATATTGCACAGAGGTAGTGGCTATTAAGGTAGAAGGGAGGTGACCTAAAAATCAAAATAATCAAAAAATAAGGAAAAAAGAAGCATATTTCTTTTTGTTGTCGTAGAAAATGTATCGTTCGTTGTCTTGCGATGTTTTTTTGTGATCAGAGGAATTGTAAAAGAACAAAATATAATACTGCAATCACATACAAAAGTAGTCCATTTTTGTACATTTTATACAGTGTTAACACTTAACTGATTTTCGTCATGTATTCTTCGTTTCGTTAAAAAGGCAAACGGTATGTCGTGTGTGTATGTTTGTGTGTGTGTGTTTGTGTGTGTTTAAGCCAGCGGGTCCACCAGCGGTTCTTCATCTCCTCGTGACAGCAGCTCTTTCTTCTCGTCTGTGCTGGCCAGAGAGTTTCGGCTGTTGTGAGCGCCCATGTACAGTGTCGCATACACCGGGTTCGTGAAGTTGGTCGGCTGAAAGACAAACACATTTATAGATGTTACACCTGAGCTCTGTTCTTCATAGCTCGCTTAAATGATCTAAGATGATTTGGCAGATCCTGGATCTGTTCATCTTGATAACTGATCTCTGGCTAATTTGGTTCTTCACACAAGTTCTTGAATCAGATTAAAATGTCTGGATGAACTGATCTGAGATCAGTTGTGAAGGACTGATCTATCCATCCACGAAATTCTCCATTGCTATTCTCGACGGCACAGCAGCGTAATGACATCATCTGATTAATATTCAATTATCCATGTGAGCAAAATTACTTCAAATTAGCAGTAAACGGTTTGTTAAATATGACACGCAATAACTTCCCACGTTTGTTGTGAGCTGCAGGCTTTACACTTTCATGTGTCAAGAGTATTCATCATGTATTTCAATGCATATCAATGTATTTTCTTTATTATAGTAGCCCAGGCCTACTCAAGTTTTGTTAACCAGCGTAAGAAATGACTGCATAAATTAATTTCGATATCTGTAACGGTGTCAATCACCGGCATATTAGCGATCAAAACACGTGCATGACTGCATAAATTATCATCCTTTTTTTTTTAAGTTGATATTGTGCATGTACGCATCTGTATCTATAAAGTTCATAAATTATTACTTTGCACCACCAGGTGGCAGTCTTTGTACTTTCATTAGAGTGATGATTGCATACGTTTTATAAATATAGATTTTTTAACTAATTCTTTAACAGACCCCAGATCTGTAGGTATACAGAGTAAATATTCATTAATTCTTTCATTTATTCATTTTCCTTCAGCTTAGTCCTTTATTTATCAGGAATCGCCACAGCGGAATGAACTGTCAACTATTCCGCGTTTTTTGAGACGATTCGCTTATTAACTTCATAGTGCAGATCTGGAACTGGAAGCAGAATGCATGACATTTAGTTGATTTTTAGGCCCAGTGTGATATTGCTCCTTCTAAACCATGGTTGGTTTGGCAGCAAAGTTTCTTGATTATTATGCTGGAATGAGAGTTTACTTTCATATCAGCCTAGAAATAACTAATAATGTGGAAACTCGGGCGCCACAGTGGTTCAGTGATTAGCACTGTCGCCTCACAGCAAGAAGGTCACTGGTTCGATTCCTGGATGGGTCAGTTGGCATTTCTGTGTGGAGTTTGCATGTTCTCCCTGTGTTGGTGTGGGTTTCCTCCGGGTGCTCCGGTTTCCCTCCCAGTCCAAACACATGCGCTATAGAGGAATAGCATAAACTCAACTGATCATAGTGTATGAGTGCGTTTGTGTGTGAATATTAAAGTGTATTCCCAGTGATGGGTTGCAGCTGGAAAGGTATCCGCTGCCTAAAACATATGCTGGAATAGTTGGTGGTTCATTCCGCTATGGCAACCCCTGATCAATAAAGGGACTAAGCCAAAGGAAAATGAATGAATGTCAAAACTCGCTGGTCATTTTTGAGTAAGATGCTAATGGTCTAATACGATTCAAAGATGTATGCTAAGCTAAGCTAAAAGTGCTTCCGCATGCCTCGGCTGAATGGATTTAAAAATGATCAAACTCAACCGTTTAGCTCTAGGATCGCTTTAAAATCAGTGTAAAGTGTAATGTTGTTTTGTGCTCGTCAAAACTTCTAGTCACAACTTCGAAAAACTAACCCAGCAGGCACAGGATGTCAACATGACGTCAGATTGATGTTATAACCCAATGTCGTGGCGACGATGCATTTTGTTTGAAAACTGGGCTGACATCAGAACATCAGGCCGACGTCAATGTCCAACCCAACATCAACCAAATATCAACGTCTAATGATGTTTCATCTTGACGTTTTGTGGACGTTACCACTGTGACGTCTATCAGACGTTGGATTTTGGTTGCCATATCTGTAAAATAAATGTCAGTATTTGACGTCAATATGACGTTGGCTTAAGATGTTTGCATGACGTTGGAATTGGGTCACTTTCCAACCCAACCTAAAATCAACCAAATATCAACGTCGTTACTGGACGTCAAAATAACGTTGTCCTTAGACACTGGCTAGACATTGGATTTTGGTCACCTGACGTCACGACCTAAATCTAACCTAATACTAAAGTCTTATGATATAGTGTGCCTGCAGGAAAATTTTGAGAAGACCTGAGAGCCCCGTGTTGAATGACCTTGGCTGTGGACAAATCTGAATTTAAATAAATAAATAAAAAAAACTTATTTTCTCAAGAACTGTTGTTTTTCTGCTGGGGTATAGTGACATGAAGCTCTTACTTTGTCAGGATCCAGTGTGAAGTCTGCGTCCAGCAGTTCTCCAACATCATCGTCCTGCTCTCCTTCATATATTTTATAGGCCGGGTTCCCGATCTCCACATTCATGGCGCCGTTGGTCATCCTCTGATGCTGGAAGCCTTTGGCTCTGCAGACACACAATACAGAGTTTACTGCACAGTAAATGCTGCGCTCAGGTCAGTTACACACCGTACACGGCAGAAAAACAGCCACAACACTGAGGGATGCCACTGACACGCACTGGAACAACCTAAAAACAAGCAACACCATCCAAAAACCCAGAGTTTACCTACAAGCCCAAATCAGAACAACTTGGGACAGCATGGAAAACACAAATAAAGAAAGACAGTAGTGATTTCCAAATTTACTTTGACTTGTTTTTGATTGCAGACAATATGAACACACAATATTTGATGTTTTGTCCGGTCTACTTAAGTTCCTTGGTAAATATACATCCTTTACTGTCATTTAGACCCGCAACACACTCCAAAAACCAACCCAAGCTCATTCTGAAAACGTAGTCCCGCGGACGTTTCTGGAGACAGCGGAATACATCCCGGGGGGTACGTACGGCCGCGTTTAGTTTTTTCAAGCGAACACTGTGGGGCGGTGTGATGCCGTTCCCTTTCCCGCCTACCTTACCTCCTTGTGGAGGGCTTCCCCGCTGCAACCCGTTTGTCCACTCAGCTCACAGTGTACGTCGGCAGGCTCGAGATGCAGAGAGGAGTCGAAAACAGCGATCGACCGGTTTCGAGTTCGGGGAACAGCGGTTCCAGCAATCAGGTAAGACAAAAACAGAATCCCAAAAATTAAGTGAACGAGTTTCGTGTCAGGGTGAGAACGCAGTGAAATCCGAAAACGTGGTAGAAAAAAAAAAATCGGGGCTTTTATTTTTTTGGACGGCTTTTGCAAACTGTTGCTCGGGTTTAGGGAAGCGAGCGGGCGGGCGGGTTGATCGGTAAAGTTCGTTGGGTTCAGGGAAGGAGGAGGGCAGGTTGGCCGGTCGTGCAGTCAATCATCCGGTCAGTCGAACTGCGGCCTTCGGTGGGTTCACGTGAGAACAGCTCGAGCGCGAACCACACTCGCGAGAGGCATCTGAGGTGCGAAAAAGTGCACAACAGCGGCCTCTCACGGATTCGCGAAAACAAAAACTGCAGCCGTACGTACCCGCCAGGACATATTCCGCGGTCTCCAGGAATGTCCGCGGGACTACGTTTCCACAATGAGCCTGGGTTGCCAAAAACAGTCAGGAGGGGAGCAGTAATCAGGTAAACTGGTGGAATAATGATGTGAGGTGAAGCAGGTGATGTCAACAGGTGTTTTTAATTATGATTATTGTGATTATGAAGAAAGGTCTAGTCCTTTAGGAGCAAAGATGGGCCGGGGATCACCAGTTTGCCAACAAATATATGAGAAAACGACTGAAATCTTTAAAAAACAATGTTCCTCAGAGAAAGACGAAGACATTTGGATGTTTCACCTTCAACAGTGCGGAACATCATTAAAACATTGAAGGAATCTGGAGGAATTTTAGTGCGTAAAGGACAAGAGCGCAAGCCTAAGCTGAACAACCACCTCCGATCCCCCAGGGGGCGCTGCATCAAGAATCCTCATTCATCTATAAGCCAGATCACCACATGGGCTCGGGACTACTGTGGTAAACCTTTGTCGGGTACCACAACATGTAGTTACATCAACAAATGCCAGTTGAAACTGTACTGTGCTAAAAGGAAGCCCTATGTTAACAGTGTCCAGAAGCGCCGTCGACTTATCTGAGCTCTAAGGCATCTGGAATGGACCATCACACAGTGAAAACGTATCCTGTGGTCAGATCAATCAGTATTTCAGGTATGTTTTGGGGGATACATAGACGCCGTGTGCTCTGCACCAATGAAGAAAAGGATCATCCAGACTGTTACCAGCAACAAGTCCTAAAGTCAGGGTCTGTGAGGGTATAGGGTTGTGTCAGTGCCCTTGGCAAATGTAACTTGCACTTCTGTGATGCTTTATTAATGGTGAACAGTACACAGAGATTTTGGAGCACAATATGCTGCCTTCTGTTTCAAGGACGCTCATGCATATTTCAACAAGACAATGCAGAACCACATTCTGCACACATTACTGAGTCCTGGCTGTGGAAGAAGAGGATACAGGTACTGGAGTGGCCTGCCTGCAGTCCCGACCTGTCTTCAATAGAGAAAGTGCAGGAAGAATGGGACAAAATGACACCTGAAACACTTCCTCACTTGCTGTCTTCAGACCCTAAACATCTTTTAAGTGTTGTGAAAAGAAATGGCGACATTACAAAGTGCTTTTTAAAATCTGTTGCAAGAACCAAAATTGTAATACGTGTTTATTTTGAAAAATAAAACAACAAATCATGAGGAACACACATTCAATAATGTTTGTTGTATTGTCTGCAGTGAAATACAAGTCAAAGTAAACTCAGAAATCACTACTTTCTTTTTTATTTGAGTTTTCCAACTGCATGTTTGCACAGTTCAACATTATTTTTACCTTCTTGATTTTAAGTCAGCCAGCTTAGTCAAAGAACAAATGATGATTGATTATTCAGCAGCATAAAGGTTTGGGCTGTAGTGGAGTTTGTTTCTACACTGCAATAAATGCTTTTCTTACTTAGATTTTTTTGACTTGTTTCTAGTCCAAATATCTAAAAGTTCTTAAATCAAGAAGCATTTTCTAGAAGAGCAAAACATATTGACTTGTTTTATGAAATAGCATGCCAAAATGAAGTGAGTTTTTCCTTAAACAAGCTAAATAATCTGCCAGTGGGGTCAGCAGAATAATCTTGTTTTATGATTTGTGGTAAGATTATTCTGCTGACCCCACTGGCAGATTATTTAGCTTGATTTAAGGAAAAACTCACTTCATTTTGGCATGTTATTTCTTAAAACAAGTCAATATGTTTTGCTCGTCTAGAAAATCTTCTTGATTTAAGAACTTTTAGATATTTGGAATAGAAACAAGTCAAAAAATCTAAGTAAGAAAAGCATTTTTTTGCAGTGTAGTCCAAAACTCTGAACATTCTTAAATCAAGAAGCCTTTTATAGACGAGCAAAAACTATAGTCTTGTTTTCAGAAATAATGAGTCGAAATGAAGTGAGTTTCTTTAGGTTGTTTTAAGTAAAACCTCACTTAATTTTGGATTTGGATGTAACCGCCCACCTTCAGTGAAAACCAACTGTGCAAACAGCGTGAGGCCGTGTTATCTTGCTAAACACTGGGTTTTGAACATGGCACATGTTTAACAGATCGATTTCCACTAATGCAGTCCTGCTGAGAACCAATCATAGAAACACTTGGCCAGATTTACAAACAGCCTCAGTGCAAGTTTAGCTTTTTTGGTATCAAAAAACTCCTGTCAAGATTTACTAAACACATGCAGGACAGTGAATTAATTGCTATTTTTCTTTCAGATGCAATTGAATCCTTTACTAAGGTCTGTGGTAGTTACATTCCTAAAGTTTACATGTACACCCTTTCATTGATTCATTTTCCTTCAGCTTAGTCCCTTTATTCATCAGGGGTCGCCACAGCGCAATAAATCACCAACTCAGTACTGGGAAACACCCATACACACTCATTCTCACACACACTCATACACTACGGTCAATTTAGTTAATCAACTCCCCTATAGCGCATATGTTTGGGTCACAGTGAGTAGATTATCATAAACTAAATTAAAATGATAAATATGACAAAAATCAGCACCTGGGTTATTAATTTGTGTGACAGCACTAAATCACTAACAACAAAAGTGGTTATTTAATTAAACTAAATTTAATTAAATAATAAATATGACAAAAATGAGCTCTTGCTTTCTTTAATTTGTGGAAGAGCACTAAATCACTTTTAAAAATAAAATAAAATGAAATGAAATGAAATAAAATGTGATAGTGATGATTATAAAAATAATCGCCTGCATTCTTTTTCATTTATTGTGGAATATCACTAAACCTCTAACAATTTTTTTTTTAATTAAATTAAAATTGAGTGCCTGTGTACTTTAATTTGTTGAACAGCACTAAATCACTTACAAAAAAAGGAATAAAATAAAGTAATAAATATAATAAAAATTAGATAATAATTAGTGCCTGTGATCTTTAATTTATAAAGATCACAAAAAATGTAATTAAACTATATAATATGTATTATTATTTAAATTGAATCTAAATTAAATAAATAATACAATAAAAAAAAACACCTGTTTCCTTTAATCTATGGATCATCAATTCATTTACAAAAAAGTTAAATAAAATTAAATGAAATTTATTTCATTTGTTAACCATCACTAAATCACTTACAATCTTTTTTTCAAAATTCTATTAAACGAATGTTATTTAACTTGTGGAACATCAATAAAACACTTTTTTAAAACTAAACTAAACTAAACTAAAATTAAATTAAATTAAATTAAATTAAATTAAATTAAATTAAATTAAATTAAATTAAATTAAATTAAATTAAATTAAATTAAATTAAATGACTTGCATTCTTTCATTTGAATAACAGCACCAAATCACTTAAATGTTTTTTTATTAATTTTAAATTAAATAAAAATAAATAATAAATATTATTATTTAAATAAAATAAATAAATCACTAACAAAATAATAATAAATAAATAAATAAATAAATAAATAAATTAATTAATTCATAAATTAATTAATTAATTAATTAATTTAAAAATAAATTAAAATGACTTGGTTTCTTTATTTTGTTGAACATCACTAAATCACTTACAGTTAACAAAATTTTATTAAAATAAATAATAAATATAAAAATGAGCGACTGCATTCTGAAATTTAATCACTTACAAATGACATGAAATGAAATGAAAATAATTTCTTTTTTTAGCTTGTGGAACATCACTAAATCACTTCGAAAAATGTAATTAATTAAAAGTAAAATTAAATTAAATGGAAATAATATTTAAAAAATGAATGCCTGCCATGTTTTGCATTTTTTTTGTTAATTTTTTAATTTACCAAACTTTCGAATCCCATTGACCCTTTCAGGAGGTTGAGATCTTGCACTAATCTGTAAATCTGGGCCATAATGTTCAGTCTAACAGCCGTATAAAACACACGATTGGTTCTCAGTCTTACACACTACTGGATCCATGTCTTTATTTTCTGCAACGGATTATCATCTTCTCCTCTGAACAAGACAAACCACTTGTTTTGAGTCAGGTGGTTTTTGACAGAGAGAGAACGGCGACACATTGAAGACGACAAAAACACAATCAATTCTCCAAACCAGCCAGAAAGATGGACAGAAACCAAAATTAAACCATAAAAAGAAAGAGATAATGGAGAAAGACCGTTACCGCGGCCGTTTGGAGCGGGATTTGCCAAGCCTACGGAAAAGAGACGCAGTTTACCAAGAAAGAAAAGAGAAAAGAGATGTTTCTGGGATGGAAAGTATCTCATAATTCAACATCTGAACACTTTAGAGAGGTGTAAATGTGTTGAAAAAGCAAATGTATTTCATAAACTCACCCTCTCATTCTCTTTCTGTACCACAACGCCGCTCCGCCAATCAACAACACCAGCAGAATCAGTAAAATCACTGGAATCACTATCGAAGCTGTTCCTGAAACAAGCAGATTAGGATTATTAGTACAAGCATTAATTGGGATTGAAAGGAGTCATGAATTGTGATAGAAATGTTGCCAAACATGTTTATGGGTCGTTCTACAGAAAGGTCCTTTTTTCTGTATGAAATATCACACTTGAAAAACTCTTAAGGTTTACAATTTCTTTATACACTCACCGGCCACTTTATTAGGTACACCCGTCCAACTGCTCGTCATGCGAAATTTCTAATCAGCCAATCACGTGGCAGCAACTTTGTATTTCTGAAACTGCTGATCTACTGGGATTTTCATGAGCACAGTGTCTGCATCTTCTGATGGCTACTTCCATCTCAGACTGGTTTCTTAAACATGACAATGAGTTCACTGTTCTCAGATGGCCTCCACAGTCACCAGATCTCAATCCAATAGAACACCGTTGGGACATGCATGTCAATATGGAGCAAAACCTCTGAGGAATATTTCCAGTATCTTGTTGAATCTCCGCCATGAAGGATTAAGGCAGCTCTGAAGGCGTAAGAGGGATCAACCCGGTCCTAGTAAGGTACTAGTGTACCTAATAAAGTGGCCGGTGAGTGTATTTCTTTATTAAAACAATGACTGCATCCAATATAATGTTGCAAACAATACAATGTTTACGTTTATGTAACTGGTTGTTGATGCTGTAAAAGGAACCTTAACAAATTAAAAATAGTCACTTTATCGGTGGCTGATAAACACTTTCTCTGCTTATAGATCATTCAAACATGAACTTACGTCCACTGGATTCAGCGTTTTCATTCCGTGCGGGATTCTCACAGCGATGACCTTCCCAACCAAGAGGACACCTACAGGAGGCAGAGAGGGATTTACATTCACATGCATTTAGAAGTGCTTGATGTGCAGCAAACATTAGCAAAGTAGCTTAGAACATACAGCACTTCAATACAAACACAACAAGATCAAGCTTTTATTACATTTAAATCCAGTGCTGTTACTATTAAACCCTCACTATAGCCATTTGCATTCACTTATTAAAGGGGTTGTGAATTGCGAAACCAAAATTTGCTTGGTCTTTTGGAATGTAAGAGGTCATAGTACTGTGAAAACATCCTGTAAGTTTCAGAACTCAACTCTTGGTTGTTCCTGTAAAATCAGCTTATATCGAAGGTAAGTTAAGAAAAAGACCAGTTCTGGAATTTTCCACTCTATGATGTAATAGGGAGGATAAGCCCCGCCTCCAAATGAGATCAACGCATGCTTCTACTTCACTGCCTGTTTAGTGTTGTTAATATGCAAAAGTGTTAGCCAATCACAGTAGTGGGCGTTTACTTCTACATCTACAATTGGCCACGCCCACTCAATCAGCACAGAAAATTCAATATATTTCATTTTTGGTATATCACAGTTCAAAAAGCTAAGATGCATATAAAATATGAAATTGTGGATTAAAACTGGATGGGAACTGCGTACTTGCACTGTGGGAGATTTGTGGAGCCGAGAGAGCATTGGCCATTAGCACAGTATCCTTCACATGTGTAACAGCGGGTTGGATTCTGCCACTGGTGCATCTAAATCACACAGCAAACACTCAATATAATTCACTTACATAGTACTTAGTACATTAATAAAAGATATATTTAATGTAATTAACTCATCTACTCACTAGTCAACAGCTAAACTCATCTACTCACTAGTCACCAGCTAAACTCATCTACTCACTAGTCAACAGCTAAACTCATCTACTCACTAGTCAACAGCTAAACTCATCTACTCACTAGTCGACAACTAAACTCATTTACTCACTAGTCAACAGCTAAACTCATCTACTCACTAGTCACCAGCTAAACTCATCTACTCACTAGTCAACAGCTAAACTCGTCTACTCACTAGTCACCAGCTAAACTCATCTACTCACTAGTCGACAACTAAACTCATTTACTCACTAGTCAACAACGAAACTCATCTACTCACTAGTCAACAGCTAAACTCATCCACTCACTAGTCAACAGCTAAACTCATCCACTCACTAGTCAACAACTAAACTCATTTACTCACTAGTCAACAACGAAACTCATCTACTCACTAGTCAACAGCTAAACTCATCTACTCACTAGTCAACAACTAAACTCATCTACTCACTAGTCAACACCTAAACTCATCCACTCACCAGTCAACAGCTAAACTCATCTACTCACTAGTCAACAGCTAAACTCATCTACTCACTAGTCAACAACTAAACTCATCTACTCACTAGTCAACACCTAAACTCATCCACTCACCAGTCAACAGCTAAACTCATCTACTCACTAGTCAACAGCTAAACTCATCCACTCACTAGTCAACAACTAAACTCATTTACTCACTAGTCAACAACGAAACTCATCTACTCACTAGTCAACAGCTAAACTCATCTACTCACTAGTCAACAACTAAACTCATCTACTCACTAGTCAACAGCTAAACTCATCTACTCACTAGTCAACAACTAAACTCATCTACTCACTAGTCAACAACTAAACTCATCTACTCACTAGTCAACAACTAAACTCATCTACTCACTAGTCAACAACTAAACTCATCTACTCACTAGTCAACAACTAAACTCATCTACTCACTAGTCAACAGCTAAAGTCATCTACTCACTAGTCAACAGCTAAAGTCATCTACTCACTAGTCAACAGCTAAACTCATCTACTCACTAGTCAACAGCTAAACTCATCTACTCACTAGTCAATAAACTCATCTACTCACTAGTCAACAACTAAACTCATCTACTCACTAGTCAACAGCTAAACTCATCTACTCACTAGTCAACAGCTAAACTCATCTACTCACTAGTCAACATCTGAACTCATCTACTCACTAGTCAACAACTAAACTCATCTACTCACTAGTCAACAGCTAAACTCATCTACTCACTAGTCAACAACTAAACTCATCTACTCACTAGTCAACAGCTAAACTCATCTACTCACTAGTCAACAGCTAAACTCATCTACTCACTAGTCAATAAACTCATCTACTCTCTAGTCAACAGCTAAACTCATCTACTCACTAGTCAATAAACTCATCTACTCACTAGTCAACAGCTAAACTCATCTACTCACTAGTCAACAGCTAAACTCATCCACTCACTAGTCAACAGTTAAACTCATCTACTCACTAGTCAACAGCTAAACTCATCTACTCACTAGTCAACAGCTAAACTCATCTACTCACTAGTCAACAGCTAAACTCATCTACTCACTAGTCGACAGCTAAACTCATCTACTTACTAGTCGACAGCTAAACTCATCTACTCACTAGTCGACAGCTAA